GGGAAGAGAGAAAGAGTGGCACATGTACGTAAATTCAGTTTCAGATCAGTAACACAGATTAGTAGATATATTTGTCATGCAGTGAAGATGCAAACAATACATCAACCATATCTTCTCATCCAGAGAAGTCAGACGCAAGTCACCTCCTTGTGCATACAGCATTATGCTATGACATGCACAGCAGATGCTGATAACTGTCAATAACTACTGTTACATAAACCAAATAGCTTCAGCAGAGAGAACAGAAAGAGGAGTTTAAAAGGGTCACTCTAAATGGAGAAAAGTTGAAGACGTACCATTAAAACTTCTCTGCTATTCTATATGCATTTCTGGATATTTCCAAAGAAAGATGAAGGATGTTGTCTGTTGTTATGGTTCAAGAAATGAGGGTTCTGGGTTTCAGGCTGTCTTCACCCTAGTGTTCACTTGAGCTTCAACTCAACGTTTGCCCCCAGCCAGATTCCTGCCTACATATAAAAGACTCTCGGTTGAGTAAAATGCTGCACTAAGTTCAAGCTAGCTGGCTTTTCAGGGAAGGAAACTGAAGCGCCAGTGTTCCTAATGCTCAAATTCATTCAGCAAAAATGCACAATTACAACAACCTATAAGCTGCTACTCAAAAATCACACCACAGCTATTCATTCAGCCTACTCTAGCTTGAGCAGAATAGCTCAGGTTGGGGTTTGTCCTCAGTGCAAATAGTCAGTCACCTTTGGATAAACAGTGATGCAAGAACTACCCAGTGCTTCTTAATAGTATAGCTTTTAGAGACATCACCACACAGTAAGTCTCCATTTTTTTCCCCTTATATAATCCTGAGTACAAGTTTGTTTGGGTTTTTCTTCTCTCCACGAGTTAACCAGCTTAGTCCCAATACCCAAAGTGCTGCATCTAGCAACACCATCACCATTTGGGGGAGAGGGGGGAGGCAAAAAAACAAAACAAAATAAAAAAAAAAAAAAACTTCTTCATACTAGAAACTCCATGAGAAAGCTATCAGTGCCCAGCATAAAGGTTTCTCCTATGAAGAGAATAAGGAAAATGAGACAAAAGTAATGAACCAATGCTGAAATCTATTGGAACCATAGCACAAACCTAACACTGTAAATTACAAAGAAAAGATTTTCCTAGCAGTTAAGATTGCATTTTTCTTATAGAAAATTTAGTTCTTTTCTGGTTTAAACATCTTTCACCATGCTCCCATTCCATGTGCATCATAGAGGACTCTGTTCACCGTGATGGCAACCTGAAGATGGTGGCTAACTGACAAATGTAGATCATATGCAAGTCACTGGGAGTTTAGCACCGACTTTCACTGGGAGTTTAGCACCGACTTTCACTGGGTCAGGCCCTATAAAAAGGACAGTTCAGAAAAAGAAAAAAAGCCAGGAGGCAATTCCAGCCATAGCAGAATGAGTTTTGGTCCAATTTCCCCACATGCTGGTACGCAAGTGTTATGCCCAGTTGAAAGATAATACACTGACTGCTTAAAGACGTGTTGGTGGCTTCTCTGCCCAGTGCCCCATTCCCCATAGTTAGAAACTGGTCTATAATTCTTGTGGGGGGTAAGAGGGCCCAATTCCAGTTTGTTTCACTGAACTTAACACTTTTGAAATTCAGGCCACTTAAGATGCCCAAAAACCCAAGCTTTTATGGAATTCAAAGACACAATTGAGTGAAACAAAATACAAACACATAACAGAAACAGAATCGCTAGAAGATTGTTAGCTACTGTACAGGAAGCATCAGTCCAGCATACACTCACCTGGTACTGGAGGCAAAGTTATGTTTCAAATTGTGTTAAGAGATCTCTTATTTCTGGGGTCAGATGCTCTACTGCCTTTGCAGCTTCTGTAATAGCTTTCCGATACATCCCTTTCTTCTTACGATTAAATCTCAGTTTGAAATATTCAGAGAAAGGAGAGAGTTTTGAAACAGATAAGAATGAAGTCGTTGGAGAACCAAACCATGATACTTTAGCTTCTCGCCAGGAAGGTTCTCCATTTTCCTTTTGGCTAAGGTTTATGTCAAGAACGCGAGCTGGCCACCATGGAAAGCCATGAATTTTACCCCAAACAATATCCCCCACTGAAACAGTTCTTCCATCTTCAGTGACGCATTTAGAGACACTTTGTGTATGTAGTCTAACTGTTAAGGGCGGCACAATTTTACGCTCATCTTTTGAAGATGAAGAGACAGATGCATCATCACCAGGTAAAAAGTCACACATTTCTGGTGATGTTACTTCTGAACTAGAAGATTTGGATTCATCTAGACTGTCATTACTACACACTGATAAACTAGAAGAATCTGCTTTTCTTTTACGATAATTCATAAGAAAAGCCAAGTTATCACGTCCATCTTTACCTTGGGGAAATCTCTTAAAGTCATCATCTTCACCTGAACTCCCTGAAGACATCTCAGCTAAACTTCTATCTGCAGATTCCTCATTATAAAATGCAGCAGGACTGATCTCATCAATAAGTTCTGCTTTATAAATTGACACGCTCTGACCATCATTTATTCGGTGGGGTTTCAGTCTGATTTTTGGAGGTGGAACATCTGCATTGGAATGCACAGGCCTAGTTAACTTCAGTTTTGGAATGGAAGCAAGTTGGCCACTCGCCGACTTATCCATAAAACATTTGGTTTCCTGACATCGTTCAGAGTCTCTGGTCTCCTCTTGGTCCTCCCCTCCATTCTGCAAAATTCGCTGCGGGCAAAATGGTTTAACTGAGCCATGAACCCGGGAGGGAATTTTCACAACTTCACCTTTACCTTGTGGCGTGCTGTAGGATATTTTTATAACTGGAGTTCGATGCACTAATTCACCGGAAAATTTGTCTTCCTCCCTCTTTTCTCTTTTGTTCCTTTTCTCTACATAATCCGAATCACTGTGCTTTTTCTGTTCCTTGTCCTGAATGCTTAGCTTCCTCCTTGTTTTAGCATTTTGCCTGGCTGTGTTAGCTTCCTCTGGGTTCAGAGTGTTTTTACATTTTTCACAGAGCACTTGCCTTGGCCTCAGTCTTATAGTGCTCATAATGAGCCTTCCCGGGTCTCTATTTCGTGACAACCGTCTTTTTGTCCTCTTTATAGTCCTTGGAGGTGGTTGAGGAACCCATTGATTATATGTATGTCTTAACCATAAGGGAGGAGGAAAAGGAGCTCCCTCAAAATAGGGAGGGTAAGGAGGAACATTGCCTGGCGGAGGAGGTGGCAGAAGAGGAGGTACTTGTTCATCATTGTTGCTCTTGGGAGGTTTTTCACTAGCTGGCTGTGAATCAGTCTCACCCGGCACAGTCTCTTTGCCTTCGGGGATCCAGTTAGTGCAAGCATTAGCAGGAGGCTCCTCTTGCTTCGGCAATGAAGATGGAAGACAGAACAATCCAGACCTACAAACAGCATAGGAAGGAAAAAAAGAAAGAAGCAGAAATCAGAACAGTTTGATTAACAGTATACTTTCCAAAAAATGTTATTTCATTCGAGTGTCCCACACACTGAAGCCAGTGCTTTCCCTTCATTTTAAGAGGAAACACCTTTAAGCATAATGAAAGAGAACAATTTATGAACTAGCAAAAGAGATTTTCTACTCTGTAGATGGCAAGTCCAAAATGACCTGTGCATTGGTTTCTCCACCTTCCCTCACAGACACCAATGTTTTGTTCCATTTACACAACCCAGGATATGTAACTTGTTTCTAAGACTATCACGTTCACAAAGCCAGTAAAACCTGAAACAAAGGTGGCATAGGGGAAAATAGAATATTGAGAGTTTTGAGGGCATCACTTAACATCATTCAATATGCTAAGTTTTCAGTTTCTCATAAAATAGCTGAGCTACCCATTTTGCACACCCATGGTTAACTGTATAAACAAGCTCTCAGATTGCGTTTTCACGCAAGGTATTTTATGATAGTCTCCCCCAAGCCTTAAATTGCCTCTTACTATACTCTTAAAGAAAAAAAGAGAAAGAAGAGGGAAAAAAGCAGGGGACGGACAAAAAAACCATAGGCTACTTTGCCAGTATAGCCAAATGATGAGAAAAATGTCTTGTTTATTCAATACCCTGTTCTAGTTCTCTTGCAGGTACCTCTTTGCATTTCACAAAGTCTCCTTCCAAAAAAAGGAAGAAGGAAAAATTATTTACAGAGGTTAGTTGTGAATTTCAGCTGTCCCAACCATTACTACGCTGTTGGCCAGACACTTCACAGCTGGTCTGATCTCTGATGCTGTACCCATGTAAGGGCCAGGCTCAAGTCTGTGGAGAATGGGAGGGCAAGACTATAAGCTGTAACAGTGCTTATTCATACCAGTTCTTTATGGATTTTCCCACTTTGCTCACCCAAATTATAGTGGCAGCATGCTGCAGATACCCTTGCTTAGCCTGACTTTTTGAATTTTCTTGCTTGCTCAAAAAAATCAGTACACAACTGCTGAGGGATACGCTGAAATAATGGGTTTCCACTGTGGAAAGTTTCCAATTGCAATATAAAAAAAAATTCTCTACGTTGGAAAGGATTAATGAAAGAGGCATGTTCTTTATAACCACATGACCAGCAAGCTGATTCTCCCTGTGAGATTCTTCTTTGCGATTAGATTTACCTAAGTGCACTCAGCACTTTGTTCCACTAGTTTATTAACAGTTTGTCCTTGACTGACTCAGAATAAATACATTGCAGGTAAGATACGCATATTTTTTTTTTTCAAAAGGCCTCCCTATTGCATCTCAGTGATTCTGTCTTACCATTATTATTATTATTATTATTATTATTATTATTATTAAATAGCCCCAATACTCTCCCAGATCCAAGCCAGGTTCTTTCTGGCTCAAGATTTACCCGTACTATACCCTATAGAATAATTTTTGCTGTCAGGTGCTCTATTTTTCCTCTAACAAAATCCAGTATAGAGTCAGCAGCCACTTTTAAGATCTCAGCTTCCCCCTTGAACCCTGAGGCAAGCTGCATCTACTATGGCCCAGTGCAAGATGATATGGAGTACAGTATCTTAAAGGGACATCCTTAACAGCAATGACCTTTAAAAATATAGTAGTGCCTGATACTATTAGAAAGGACAAACACCTCGTTTGAGTGAATGGAAACGGGCTACCATCTCAACTCTTGTAATAGAGATCGCCCTCTTGAATAATGACATGGGTGAGCTATTTTTGTCCTGAAAATATCTACAAGATATCCTAACACTATCACTACGATGCAGCTACAAAGTCTTTTCTGCCTTCCAGACCTCTTTTTACCCACATTCTCCCTCAACGTTTAGCAGCACAAATAAAACAGTCAAATAACAGCAAAGAGCTGTCAGTGTAGCATAGCATCTTTTTTTCATTGTTGCCAACACAAATATATGGTCCTTTATTTTCAGATTCCTTGGTAGTGGGGCTATTTACAACTACTTACTAAATTCCTTCCCAATTTCTTACAATAGGAGACCTAGTCTCTTTTTAAATAGAAAGTCTTTTGAGCATCTCAGACACCAGGTTTGAGTTATCATGTGCTGTTCTTAAGAGTCTTGATGATTTGTACTTTGTTTTTCTGACTGGGGGGAAGCACTGTCAACACTTACAGTAGAAAAGAAGTTTGGAGGTAGCTTTGGACGTGAGAAAACACCATGTTATAAACAGGTCTGAACACAAACTTATCTAGCACTATCAAACAAGCATTCCCACTTCTTAAATAAATATTCAATGTTTTACAAGCAAGTTCTGTGAAGTTTAAAAAAAAAATATGGAGGGCAGGGTTACTTCTAGGCCAGCCACCAGCTATTTTTAGGTTGAGATTATATGATCCCTTTTTCTCATCAGCTCTCTGCTTTCCTTGTTAGTATTAGCAAGAACACTATCGTGCATAAGAAGGGGCCATCACTACCTACAAAAAGGGGATTTGTTTCCCCCCTGCACAGAGCATACTTGAGGAAGACTGAAGAGAAACTCCTTCAACCTGTCCTCAACCAGCAGCACAAGGCAGTAGGAACAGGAACATACTACAGTCAAAAATAAGGAACAAGTTCATCGAGTCAGAAAATGGGGCTGTCAAACTGACCGACTGCCCCATGAGGCACCCAGACCACCACTACCAAGACTGCTGTACTTCTTCAGTAGTTTGTCCTGAAGAAGTTTGACCTCGAGGTCCCCAACCAACTCCATGATTCTTCCCCAACTATTACCCCAGGATGGAGCATTTTTTTAAAAGGAAGTGACCAAGCTCCCCTCCTCAACTGCAAGTCTTCTTAGGCTACTGCTCTTTCAGGTGCATGTTGCTTCCCCATGCTAAGCAGAAAAGAGGGAGGCTCTTCTTCCTAGAAGCTTTAATAAGACAAATATTAGTAGAGGTCACATAATCTGACAAAGAAAAAAAAAAAGAAGTTTTTAACTTTTCCCAAGACCAAAAACAGCCTTGCAAAACCCATTGATGCTTCTCTCCCTGCTAGTTCCTCCGATTTATTAGTTACAATTCACTATGTTCATTTTTCTTTTTCCAGACATTGTTAATCATAGGCCAAAACTCTCACTTAACTCGCATGAGAAAGTCTACCAGTGTTAAAATAAATAAGTTACATAACTGATTTTTCTATGTGTTTTGATACCAAAGTCATTGCTATTCTCTCTTACTATCTTTTTTAGGTGAAGTACCAAATTATTCTAACTTTTAACATTTTAAAACCGTCTTTTCTAAGGAGGAAATTTTTTTCCCCCTTCACTTAGAGAGATTAGGTTATCTTGACCATTTTCATCTTTAATGACCCCGTCTACTTGACATGTACTTTCCAAATTGCAAGACTGACTCAGTCCAGACAAAAAGGACTGAAAGACATAAATTTAGAAGCAAGTCATTTTGTTCCAAGACTTTTAAGTCAAGCCTGATATTAAAATGGTTTGAAGTGAAAGCCTGCTAATACATTTGCTCTAAAGCAACCACAATTTGTACATCCAATCCAAAATATAATGGAAACTAAGGCAGTGTTATTTTTCATGCAGCTGTAACTGTGCAATACTTTGATTATTCAATCATGTAAATATTCTTATTTGGACAAGGCAGGATCATGTAATAAGAAGAACTCTTTCCTCCCCACCAAACCCCTCCCCGCCAACCCAGTACCATAGTTAGATATAAACTCATTCATTCTACAGACAGATTGAGGGATTTCACCTGAACTATAAAAAGTTATTAAGGAAAGCAGGTTGGATCAGCCCATTCTGTTCTGTAAAGGCCTCATCTCTCCAGCTTCAATTATATGAGCAATATCCTAATTTCAGTGGAACTCCTTTCTCTAGGATCTGCTGTAAGATCTGAGCCTTAACTCTGTTCACAGCTGCACTAGCAACAGATGCGTGTGAAAAGGCACTGGTTCATTGGCAGAATGTCCAGTTCTTAAAATTTAACCAGAATTAATGCATAGTCCTCAAAATGTCAAAGTTCACTAGCACATTCTTTGCCACAGTAATGAAGCCTTACTAGGACCAAGGCCACACTCAATCACTCTGCTATTAAATCTTCCCCAGAAAATGGAATGACACCGTTTTAGGGAAAGTTTTCAGTTCTGTGCATTAGCTATTTGGTATTAAAGAAAGTCTCTTCCATACTGATTCTATAAGCCATAATGCCATACAAATAGGAATTTCAGGACTGACAAAAAACTAGCAAATGCACATTTTAAAAAAGTAATTAAGGTCCATAAACAGTGCTATCCATTAAGCCAGGTCAACTATAGCAAGTGCAGACCAATACATAACTTGATCACAACTCCTGAGTGCACGTAAAATTAACCCAACAGGCCTTATTTAAGAAAGCTTAGTAAGTTAAGTCACCAAACTATTACAAGTCTGAATTCTCTGCTTGAGTTGGTGATTTTTTTTAAAAATCAGAACTTCTCTGCAACAAAGATTCAATGGAAATATCAGTTATTTATATCACTGCACTGTCTACAAGGATCAACCACATCAGAGCCCTGTTTTGCTAACCTGTATGCAAAGAACATAGAAAAACACCAGTACTAACTGCACTGAGCTTATAGTCTAGACACAATCACACTGCTGTGCATCAGGACATTGATGCACAAGCCCATTAGTCATCTGACTGGCTGAAGTAATTCTGTTGGTAGTTTCCTCTACACCACCCTTCTTTGTGGAGGGACTGTACCAGCTGTTCCTTACTCATATTTGCAATCCCCTTCCCCCTTGCCAAGTCATTTTTGAGCCCTGGTTGTCCTGTACACTTAGACTCAGGTAGCAGTAGTGGCCAAGATGTCTTTCCATACTTTGGGAAGGGTTTGTATACATAAATGATCATAGTTACCCAGCATCAGACTCCTGCAACAACCATGCCCTTTGGTAATTTAATACTGGCAGTTACAGTCACGTGCAACTGACTTTCAGTTAG